TTTTGAAGAAAATACATGATGATTTAGTTACTCAAAAATTGTTTCCAAACAACAGGTTCATTGTTGAGAAGGATTTCAAAGCCAAGATCACAAATCATACTTGGAGCAAATACCTCAAATCTTGTGGGGTAGCTTTTAGAAACAAATAACAACAACAACAACAACAAAAAACATCTAGAGGAGAGGTATTGTGGGGCAGTAAGTTAAGCTGTTGCTTGCATATATGTATCCCGTATTAAATTCCTAGTATTCATTTGGGGCGAAGATTGTGTTTGTGTTTGTGTGTGTGCCTAGCTTTTCAAATAAATATTGTTTAAAAAAAATTAGAAGTAATGGAACCTAAACTGAAATTTCCTCTTAGCAGTCATGGGTCATCTCTCCATTCAAGACTATGGAGATTTTGTACAGGGTTGTTGGCACTGAGTTTTATAAATTGGTCATGTCTGAGAACATGATCAATGCACTAATTCTATACAAAAAATGTGCTGAGAAATCATCCATAAGTGCTTGAATTACAGTTCAAGGATTCTTCAATCTGTAATCCAAATTGTGAATTGAGACTAAAAAAGCTACTCTGTGCCACTATAGGAGAATCCCGTAACCTCAGGGAAATACTTTTTGGACTATGACTATTGCGTAAAGTATATGCGGCAATAATGGATTTATTGAAAGCAAAAAGGTTTTCTTTGAAGAAAAAAGGTTTTCTTCCTACATTAGAACTGTTCACAAACTTGATTATGTAACAAAACACAAATTTGAGCTTGGTGTTGACTCTGTAGAGTCAAGAAAGACTACACATTTCAGTGTCAACATGTTGCCTTCATCAGAGAAAATTCAACTGATATTCTCAAGTGTTTCTGGTTGGTTTTTACTCAGATGGATTTGTACATGATTTGCCTGTTTCTGAAGCACAGAGCTTTAGAATGCCCTCCCTGTTTTCTATTGATAAACTCTCAGAAAACCCTCCAACTACTAAATTCCCACACAACCATCAGCATCAAAGTCTGAGGAGAATCACTCAGCAGAGAATGCATTCTATGCCCCTAGTCCCTCACTCACACTGTTCTTTGCACACCATGCACCCATCCTTGAAAATACAGTCCATAATGGCAAATTAGCCAAACGCCAGGGTTGAAGATGATGTATGGACTTAGATGGGTCAATACAAGTGAATACCCAGCTTCATGTTCCTTGCCTCTGGATCTGAGGAGGACTCGGGAAAACGGTTTCCTACATTTTGCAGGTAAGAATGGCCAGAAACACATGTGAAGCTTGCAGCTTTCTAGGTATAATTATAGGAGTCTGGATCCAGGATCAAGATGCAAGGAACAGAATGATGATAGTGAAACATGCCAGGAGACATTGCGGCTAGTATATTTTCCCTCAAATACGGCTACACTCAACTCAATTATTGGAGAAAACTCAGTAATAGAGATACGTACCCCATCTCACTGAATAAAAATACTTGGCAGAGATCTGAACTTTGTTTTTGACACTATCACCTTGGTTACACATCAGAATAATCTAGGGAGGATTTAAAAATACAAGTATCCACGGCCCTGTGAAAAAACAACTAAATCAAAACATCTAGAAGGTTGTGAAAATTCCTTTGGTGATCGTAATAAAAGCAAATCACAGCTCAGCCTATGCAAAAAAACTCTGAGCCAGATGATTTTAGATGAAGTTGAAACCATCAGTTTTTTATTTTTATTCAACAATCAGACTAGCGAGATGCAATCACGTATCAACTTCATGGTAGGCACTGCTGGGCTCTGCCTTTGTTCAGGCTGTGCCCTGGACTGTTGCATGTGTACGGCTTTAAGAGGAACAATTTATTCAAGCCCATACTTAAAAAGGAACTCTGAAACTGAGTTCAAATTAAGAATGACTCCATAAGTAATGGATATAAAAGGGCTGGGAGCCTTCTTATTCATGTGCTGATGAATGATCTCCAAACTGCTTTAAAGAAATTCTAACCATGTGATGAAATTGTTATACAGGAATCAGGAGACTCCATCCACGGGAAAACGGAAAGGAAACATTCTAGACCCAGCAGCTTCATTTTTACAAGCTCTTCTGCATGGCGGTTGGTCCATGGAAGGCACTCTATCTTTTCAGTGACTGATTTTCTATTAGCATGGCTAAAATCTAAACAATTCTTGAAGATGTCTTTCTGGAAGTTTTTCTCCAATTTTCTCCATACCTATCATCAGGAAGAATAATTTCATGAACAACCAAAACTAGTAGCAAAATGCTTTAATTTTCAATATGAGCCAAATTAGTTGTACTTGAATAGTTAAGTAGACTTAAACCTTCTGATTTCAACACTAGCATTTTCTTTTCTGTAGGGCACAGTGATGTTTCCAATCATTTACATCCTTAACCCTTAGATTTGGGAATATTTTACACAGCAGATGTAAATCAATATCTTAAGTTAGGGATATTTTTGTAGACTGTATGGGTGGTTCCAAGGTAACTTAAGCTTCATTAAAAAATGGAATAAGGAGGTATGACAGATTCAGAGAGAGAGAGGGAGAGACAGAGACAGAGAGAGAATGGAAAGTACGGCATTTGGTGGCTTTGAAGATGGAGAAAGGGTTCATAAATTAAAGAATGTAGGTGAAATTGAAAGGCTTGAAAAAGGAATTTTTTCCCCAGAGTCTTTGGAAAGCACGCAGCCCTAGTGACACTTTTAGTCCATGACACTCATTTTGGATTTCCAATTTCCAGAGTTGTGGGATAATAAATTTGTGTTGTGTTAAGCCACTTACAAATGTGTGTTAAGCTATTAAGTTTGTGGTAATAGGTTGAAATAGCAATGAGAAACTAACATATCACACAATATTGAAGACAAAAAGAATATAAAGAATAGCAGTGACTAAGGCAGCACTTTTTGCACTTCCACTTAGCCAAGGACTACATTAGCATCCTCTACAAAGTAATGGGGCTGTGAGCATTACCTTTAAACTCTGGTATGGCTTTTAAGAGTAAGATGTTAAAATAAAGAGTTAACTGAGAAGCTAATTTTATAATTAGAAGACAACAGTTACTTTTCAGTCATGTACCTGTTTGCTTTAGAACGAACACACACACACACAAGGTACTATCATTGCAAGGCCTAGTATATGGTGAATGATGATGGATGAGCTGGCTGACCAAAGGCACTAGGTGAGCTTCCTTTGGCTGAGAAGGCTACCATTTTCAAGAGGATGGCTTCCCACATGCCACTCAGTGAAGCAGTAAGTCACAGTCACACAGAGATGACAGTGGTGAATAATAAACTACATCTCTGCCCACCTCCAGGGAATGTTAGCAAGTCATGTTTCCTCTCAGGTCATGTTCTCCCTGTTAAACCATTCATTCATGACATGGTTATGTGGTTAAGTCTGTTGCCAGTAATGGGAAGCCAATGGGTTCACAGAAGCTCAAACCTATGTGGGCTTCCTCAATGTTACCTGCAGGAACTGAGCTCACCAAGTGGAAATATATTCAATTCTCTTTTATGAGACACAACTCTAACTCTAGAAAGAGTTCTGAAACCTGTGGTTTTTCCCTCCCTTTGCATGAGAAACAGCTCCAAAGAAACAATGCTAGTTACACAGGCAATGACTGTCCTAGAACACGTATGTGAGGAAGGGCAATGATCATGGCTGCCACTGTAACGGGCACATCGTAACAAGCTGACAGTAGGCTACAGACACTTAGGCTGGATGACAGACAGCAGCAGGGCAATCCTACGAGCATTGTGCCTGTGCAAAAGAGAATGGAAGGCACCCAGGAGACTCCAAGAGTACCATAAAAATAGCCACCATCTACTGAGCACTTTACAATGGTCCAGGCACAGTGTGCTAAGAGTATTACAAACTTTTATCTTTATAATCTCCTTGAAGCAGAGGTCCATTGTTAATCCTATCTCACAGATGAGAAAATGTTGTTCCAGGTACGTATATTGTTCAAGTTTACAGATAGGAATGGCAGCCCTGGGATTCAGAAACAAGCCTTGGCAATGCCAATGTTTGTGATTTTTGTGACTATTTTTTTAATCTGGTACTACTTTTACTACCTTTAATATAGTAGCATGAAGCATATAATACTGAGAAAAGCAGCAGCAGTGAATGGCAGCAATGTAGCCACCCAATTGAGAACTCAGGAAGATTTTCTTTTATATCCATTCATTCAGTGGCTCCACATGTTTTTGAGTATTTGTTCTATGCTAAGAACTATGCTCACACAAGTAGAAATTACTAAAACACAAAAGAACATCAAACAGAAGCTGGAAAGAGTCCACAGCAGCAAAATTCTAGAACATTCTCTAGCAATCTGGCAGCCACCAGGAAGTAGTAGTAGCAGAGCGACTCAGCAGGTGACAATGAAGAGGTGCTTTCTCCCACAGAGGTGTCAGATATGAGGAAAAATATGACAACCTACACATGGCTAAGGAAAAGTGACCCAACATAACAAACAGGTGCTCCTTGCACCTAGGACTATCATCACTAATTATTTCCTTTTGAAATGCTACTTTTCCATAGGGATAGAGGTGGGGGAGCAAGGGAAGGCCCAGAGACTGCTCACTGCTCCCACCACCTCACCTCTCCAGTAATACTAAGAAACTCTTGATCTCAAGGCTCACCCTTACTGCGAAAACGTTTCATTGTGGGACGCAGGACACAAACCTCTAAATAGGGGATCTTGTCTTCTAAATTGAAGGAAATTGAGAATGCTACTTAAGCAGAAAGCGGTCTCTTGACTTTGCACAGGCCCTTTCTCTCTGAAGCATTCACATTAAGTCTCTGATCTCTTGTTGTCAGAAAGCAGACCATAAGTCCCTGATTCCAGAGCAGTCCTGCCATGTACTTGGAGCTCACAAAGAATCTGAGCAGACTTTGTTAAGTTCCCCAAGTAGATCAGACACCATGTTTATACAAACTTCCACATGACTAGAAATTCTTCATCAAGTCCAAACATAAAAGCACAATTTCCCCTGCATCTTCAGGTCTTCATTTCTTAAGCCTCCCAAGTCACACAAAACCGGCTAAACAAATTTCTTAGGTGTCTATTGTTAACCTGTTTTTGCTGTAGGGATGTCAGCCATAAATCTTGCCATGGGCAAGGAAAATACTTTTTCTTTTATACACCAGTCCAACGAAACCCGCTTATCTTACAAATGCCAGTGTCAGTTCAGTGTGGCCCAAAGTGTGTTCCTTCCAACTAGGGTGACCAAATATCCTGATCTGTCAGGTGGTACCAGTTTACTTGTGCTGTTCTTGCATCATTTATGATGTCCTTTTTAATTCTCAACAGTGTTCCAGCTTAGAGAATGTGTTAAATGATCACCTAAACCATCTCCCTGTCAAAAACTGCTTAGGAGGCTGTTTGTAGCTGTGCTATTTTTCTCAAAGTTTCTAAACTGCCCCAAACTATTGTAAAACGTAAAGAATTAACATATTAGAAAAGATGTTTTGATCAAGGAAACTTCCAGCAAAACATCTGTTGTTCCATGTATCTATCGTTGCAACATATATAATTTAGGAAAATAGCATTATTAGGCAAATTGGTTGCTAGAATATCTGCCCTCCGAGAGACAGTAATTTAGTGAGCTGTGAATTTACAAAAGGGTCATATATTAGGCATTTCCTCTAGCTTATTTGAACATTTAACTTTTTTTTTTTTTTTTTTGGTGAAACATTAAAAGGCATCAGTTGTTTCACAAAAGGTTTCCACACTTTGCTTCAACAGATACAGGTGCCTCATTTACCTTGGAATTGTTCCAGGCATTCAACAGTCAGCAGTGAACAAATCAAAATCTGTGCCCTCAAACAGCTTCCACACCAGAGAAGGAGACAGACACAAACCTATAAATAAACACTATAGTCGGAAAGACAACGATCTAGCCCCTGCCCCTGGCCAAATGAGAAAACATGAAAACAAAAACTGCAACATCTAGCAATTCTGAAAGATATTCACGAAGCAACCTGTCTTAAGAGTTGATGAAAATTCCCATCTGTCAAAAGTCAGCATAGTTTCTTGTTTCCTGAATACAAGAACGATCCTTTAACAAACCTCTCCCCACTGAGTATGCGTCATACAGCATTAGTATGGGTGAACTGATGGCATTCATAATATGCCTTTAAAATGCTTTCATTTCCTACCTAGACCAAGACGTTCCTGGAAAAAGCATTATTCTCAAAAGGGATCTTTATAGGTGTCTAACATCCAGGAAACATATTAGAAAAAAATTGGAGAATTATTTTTATTCTATGCTGCACATCCACACCCTAGGACTGGAATGAGAACAAGGAATTGCTTAAACACACATTCTCTCTTTAATTGTCTCTCACATACTCCTGCCTTTTGATTGGTCCTGTGCAGAATAGGGATTCCAATTTAAATGAATAAGCCAAGTTAAAACTTTCCCTCCCTGAACAAATCAAAAGGAAAGCCTTTTTATGTTGCAGGGACTATAGATGCCACGGGCTGAGCTTGTTCTAAAGCTTCTCTCCACTGGTCAAAAACTAAGCCATCTTGCTGTGTTTAGCACTGTTCAGCAGACCACCCACCCAGACGCGGATACACAAACCACATGTGTGAGGAATGCTGTTCAGCTAGGAAATCAGTATCAGTATTTCAACCTTATTACTTGCACAGACGGCCCTTTTAGTGCAACTCATTTGTTTTATCTTTTCAATAGCTTTGATTATTTTCTTTTAATGGCTTGGATTTATCCTTTTCTACTCTTTTGAAACTTCAGAGCTCTGCAGTGGGGGCTGCTTGTACTAGGAAGACATGATTATGAGCAGAAAATAAGCGAATAGCTTTCCCTTTACTCACCATCTCCCTCTCCACTCCTTCCGGGGGCCACAACAGCATCTGAGTTCCTCTAATGCGAAGACAGTAGCTTTCCCAGTGCTGGTGGTAGGTCATTTTTGCTGTTATTTAAGAGCAACAGGGTCCAGTTACAATTACTGGAGTACTTTCCAACTTGTGATATATATTTCTCTCACTAATTCTGGGGGTCCATAAGGGTTATACACCTTTAATTAAGTGGAAGAGCAAGAGTGCAAGCCGGGAGCCCAGGGTGCTTTAACAACCTCTGGAAAAGGCTAGAAATGCCTCTGAAGAAGGGGCCCACATAAATAAGAGGGTGTGGATACTACCACTGGCAGAAAAAGCAGAGGCATGGAAACGGGCTTGGCATGTTATATTGGATGCTATCCTCTAGGCAAGGAAACCAATGAAACACCCTCAGCTGCTCTACTAATCAGGAAAAACAAAAACAAAAACAAAACAAGGTCATCAATTTTGGACACTATGTCCCAGGATTACCAACCAGTCTGGGCATTGGGCCTTGGTTCATGTGTCTCCTTTCTGGGTTTCCTTACATATTCAAGTGCAGACAAAACTCTGAAAGACCTAGAGGACATGCTTCAAGGGAAAATATTTGATATGAGGCATTCCTTGAAGAAATTGCTTGGGGACCACAGCCTGAACTGTTTTCAGTAACCACGAGGCTGGTCTGTACACTCTCCCCAATGCTGCAGCCGATGCAAGGCTGCTATTTCAAATAAATGAATGTATATGTTGATAGAAGGCAAATTCATGTAATGGAAGTGTGGGCATTAGGAAGGTTTGGCACACCCCAGCCTATCTGGGACTGATGATTCCAATCTAAGACCGGTTCCAAGTTGATAAAGAAGTTCATTATAATCCCCTAAATGGCTTGTCAGCTTGAAAGCAAATAAGATCAGTTTCTCAAATTTGATGAGTCTTTTTACTATTCAAGAGAACATCACATCCAATTCCTTGTTTATTAGCCAAACTGAATGTATTTTATTTTCTTTGTTGTGATTTGCCTACTCCTTGCGTAATCAAGGTAGAATTTCTAAAGCAAATGCAGGCTCTGTGTAAGATTGACTGTCTAGCTATATACATTGTGTAGTTTATGAACCAATCTTTCAAAGGAACAGAGGAAAAGAAAAAAATAACATCATGCATAAATAACCCCATTTATTCCAAGAATGTGCCTCACTATTTTGTATCTACCTACACAGCTCAAACAACATGCTGTCTTCAGGATATAGCAAATGGTAATACACACTGGGGATCCAAAGAATGAGACATGAACTCTGTCCTCAGCTGCTCTGGGGTGCATTGTTATCTCCCTATTGCTTCTTCAGGAACAGCATCACTTCTTAAGAAAAAGCTTGGAGAATAATTTTTCCTGTATGCAAAATAAAGCCAAACTTTGTCCAATCAACTCTTAAATCAGCAACAATACACAATGTAAAGAAAACGGAACCACAACAGATTAGAAACAAATTTAAGTAAAACACCTATTTCTGTGCATCTGTACTTACATTTCAACACAGGTTGTAGAGATGGGAAATACATCTTATGTGTGCTTTGTAATTCACATGAAACCATGTACACACACAGTTTTCTTTCAATGTAACTACACATATACACACCATTGAAAAGATACTGACAGATTTATAAAATGTATCAGCCCTGCACTGTTAATCTCAACAATACACTGTTACTTAATTTATTTTTTCACTGCATGGTAGCTCTGGCAACTATTAAGGATCTGTCAGCATTTCCATGACTATTTTCATGAATACTGGAGTACAAGTGCCAAAATACATATTTACAGTTTACAGACAGTGGTGGCTTTGTCTTCCTTTTGAATTCACCTCTTCTTTGATGCATCTTCTTAAGGAATATTCAGGGATGACAGAGCCTACGTAATAAGAAGCATCATATAAAACAAGAAAGATCAAGAGATATAGACACTGGGCCCAATGCTAAACTCAACCACGGTAATGGACTTCTTAACATTCACTGCAGCTGTAGTAGTCTCTACATCATAGTCATAGCTTTAGAACAACAGTCCACGGCAAGAGCACTGATATAATATTTATACGTATATATATAAATAGAAGAGCAAACACAGCATTAGTACACAAAATGCTAAAGAATGGAAGTTATAAGCACATGGCAAATTACTCCAGAGCTGATCACTTCCACAGTGAGAAAAATGAGCACAAGCCACCAAACACAGACACTGACCATTCCCAACACCAAATATCCAACTTCATTAAGTAGGTAAGGTGAAAACATTCTACAAGTAGTATCCCCTCAATAGTTATTTTAACTACATTTGTTAGGCTTGGGATGGTAATGGGTAATTTTTTTGAAGGTCAGGTAGATATATAAAAGGCATCCAACAAAAACTGTTTCTAGTGGAAGAAACCTTTTACTAGTAGAACTTTATTGACCCTTCCTACAAAAAGGCAATTATTCAGATTAAATAGATTTGCTTAGCAATTAAAAAATGTTTAGGACACTCTTTGAACAAGATTTTAATGAAGATTTTGTCTCCCAATACGTGTGGTTTTTATGTTCTTCCCTACCTTGACACAATACGCAAGTATATCTAGACACATCTATTTATCAATCTAGTGGTAAGAGAGGCAGGTTGTATTAAAGACAAAAATAATTGCAAACCTGTTTTTGTTTGTTTGCTACCATGTCTATTATAACCTAAGATAGAAAGATCTCTGCTCAAATATCTCTTGCTTCAAACCAGTGGCAAAAGCTAATTAGTAAGGAGGAACAGAAGTTCTATGTGAATATTGTTCTTCCTGTATATATTAATGGCAAAGAAAGTTTATCATACTCTTGTTATCCAAACTTCACATTCAATTTTATTTGAACTATTTATAGATATGTATGTGTGTACACACATATTCACAGCAAAGAAATTAAACCTGCCATTTTCCTCTTGTGCTTAAAAGTAAATCAAAGCCATTGTTGGGTTATGTGTGTCAAAGGTGTTCTTGATGAGTTTCAAATTTGAGTGTATAAAATACAGCGGAATCAAGTGGGTTACTTGAAGGGAGGTATTATAACTCTTTAAGGTCAATTAAAAATATTTACATTTTCTGTATTTAAAAAACCAAGATGATGACAGTAAAATTATCACTTTAGAAAAAACAACATGACACTTTCCTGATCAAAATTCTGTGTAAAGTCGTTTTCTTAAGGGTATTAAATTGAAAATTATTCTGGATTTTATTATCAATTTGAAAACTCATATTTTATATGCTGAAGACATTTGCTTTTCTACTTAGTTTTCAGATCTAAAGTTTATCACTAAAATAGCTGCCATTATTATTTTCTTCCCTCTCCTATTTTTGGAAACTTTTTGTCTGACCTAGTTCCTTTCTAGTAACTAAAGGAAAAAAAATCAGCTCTTACAAAAAATAGTTACAGAAATAAAAAATGGCCCAAACTACATGTACAAGTTCTTAGTTTAACAAGCACAGAATTGCTTCTTGGCCTTTTGGCTAAGATTAAGTGTAGTTTAAAACACAGGTATATTAATTAAACCACATAAATTCTGGTTTAATTAAAATACATCAATACACAGTAAGAAATTTTGCAAACATTTCTCTATATGTATTGCCCTTTCCTTTTGCCCAAGTTAAAAATAAAACACAGCTAAACCACATGATTCATCATTCATTTGAACGTTTAACTAATGTCTAAAATGACTCAGAAAGTACCTCTGCAATTATACATCAAGAAGTGGATGACACAACAAATGTCTCAAGTACGGTTCATGCCAATCATTAAAAAGCCCAACATTCTTGAAAAAGTACACTTGTCCTCTGGGAAGACACTTCATAAAAGTAATTTACAAGGATCATGGCTGTATCATAATTGTTTCAAAGGAAAAAAAAATAGTTTCTTTGGATAGACAGAAACAGTGTAAAAAAAAATCCCCCTTATAAAATGCAGAAACATTCCATTATCAATCTGCATTTACATTACTACTCAAATGAATGGGTATGGAAAGCCCATTTTCTGTACACACACTAGTTAGTATCTGGATGAAAAGCCAGCATCTGGCACCACGGGAACAAGCAAGGGCGATATTCATTGATGAGCACACACAGACTTTCTTAAGGCTGACCCAGTGATGAACCTTTGGATCCGGAAGCATTTCTTCATTTCTTGTCTTTTCAGTTGAGTTTTCTAGTGAAACTTGGAAGCTATTCTCCCTTTCCATGTTTCCATTTACAGAGAAGATAGAATAATGACACCAAAAGTATTACGTGTTTTTCTTTTTCTTTTAAAAATAATGCTTTCTTTTGCATGCCACAGGACAGATTTCTAGTTTCAAAACATAGGTACAACAAGAAGAAAAAGAAAATATGCCCACTCCCCAATCATCTTTACTTTCACCAATACAGAAAACTTTTTTGTCACATTAGTAACTAAACAGATACCAAACCATGAATCTACAAGTTAATACATAAACTTTTATGGCAGAATAACCAAGAATTTCTCCCCAAAGGTTTTAATTTTTCAAATATAAAACAGTCTAGGAGAATCATTTATGAACAAACCAAAATCTCTTATTCCAAGTTTTACTGTAAAGATGTGTAACACATTGGCAGCTAAAGAAAGCTGAATCTCTTACTAATAAATAGATCCAAATCAAGATTTTCTACAACATTTTAGAAAACAGATTTCTTTTCTTTTAAAAATGATGATCCTGTAGAATGCCTTTACATCCATATTTACCTAATCTTATGACAGGAAACAGACACAAGCATGTTGATGGCAGCTCAACAATGCTAGATTCAGGACATTTACAGGTACACTTTTGTTTTAAAGTCCTATGGGCTTATTGACTAAGGCTAGAGAGGAATTCGTATGATCCTATTTGGTGCATTTTCTACCATGGTCCGGGATCATTACACGGATACAGCCAAGGGCAAGGTCCCAACTTTCAGGAAAAAGACCACAAAGAAGAAAATCAAGGTGGTTATTTGGTCCCTCCCTGGCGCCTACCCTCTCAAACCCCAGTTGATAATTTGTGTCCTGGAACTGGAAAAACAAAAAGTGGAAAACAGAGACTGCAACATGTTAAGGACTTAGAAGAATTTGTTGGAGAGTGGCAGGGTACACGAGTAAGGTCACTGGGTTTGGGATGGCAAGGGTGCTGCATTGATAGAGCATCCATGAGACCAAGTACTTATGTCTGGTATCATTCTCCCAAAGACTTTAGGATATCTGTATGCGATAATAAATAGATCAGTTACGTAATAAGGCAGTGTGTTGAATATGCATTCGTCCTTTGGAACGAACCACCAGAGAGAGAGATATAAGATACCATACACATTCTTTAAGTTTTCTTGTGTTGTGTTGGATTTGTTTGTTTTCAAGGCTATCCAGGCTAACTCTTCCCGGGGATTTCCTTGGAGAGAAGAGTGGTCTGCTGAGGCTGGTTTGCTTAACCTCTCCTTTGTCAAGAGATGATGACTGGCTTTAAAGAAAAATAAAGCTGAAGGTTGTTTGATTTTTATTTTTTCCCTTTTGGTTGCATCATTCTGACTGTTTTCATATAAACAACAACAACAAAAATCACACCCACCCACCCACCCCCCCCAAAAAAAAAACAAAATCCAAGAGTTTTTGATGCATCCAGTTGTATCCTCAGGATGTTCCAGATGTTTCCAGGTAACTCTGTAGTTTACGGACTGTGGTTTTATCCAGCGAGCAAAGATCAAAATCAAATGTTGTGTTTGTGATATGAAAGTGTCCAGTTTCTTCTATGAGGTTCACGATCTAGAGAAATAAAGAAGAGACACTGTAGGCAGGGAGAGTAGACATCAAAAAGCAAAGAGCCGGAGGGGGTCTAGTACAGAACCAAGAGATAAATACGCTTACTTACAATAAGACGTTCCTATGCTAAAAGGAGCACCAAAATATCTCACAACTAATCTGGCAAACAAAGAGAAAACCATTACCTGTTTTCATTTTCCATACCTTTTAAACCGATTCCTGCAGTCAACTCATCATCAGAATATTTTACCGCAGGAAGACAAAATTTCAAGACACTGTTAACAATTAGTCACTGACTCAATAGACAGTGTGACTTAATTAAGAACGGAATTATTATTTTTTTTAAAGGAGTATACTTTGGGGCCTGGTGGAGTAGCCTAGTGCCTAGAGTCCTTGCCTTGCCTGCACTGGGATCCCATATGGGCATTTTTTCATATCCTGGCTGCTCCTCTTCCCTTTCAGCTCCCTGATTGCTTCCCTGGGGAAGCAATTGAGGACAGCCTAAAGCCTTGAGATCCTGCATCTGTGTGAGAGATCCGGAAGAGGCTCAGCTGTGGCCATTGCAGCCGTATTAGGAGTGAACCAGCAGATGGAAGACTTTTCTCTCTGCCTCTCCTTTTCTCTGTAAGTCTGACTTTCCAATAAAAATAAATAAATTCTTAAAAAAAAAAAACAGCATAGGGCCCGGCGCGGTGGCGCAAGTGGTTAAAGGTCCTCGCCTTGCACGCCCGGGATCCCATATGGGCGCCGGTTCTATCCCAGCAGCCCCGCTTCCCTTCCAGCTCCCTGCCTGTGGCCTGGGAAAGCAGTCGAGGACGGCCCAAAGCTTTGGGAACCTGCACCCGCATGGGAGACCCAGAAGAGGCTCCTGGCTTCGGATCGGCATAGTATTGGCCTGTTGCGCTCACTTGGGGAGTGAATCATCGGACGGAAGATCTTCCTCTCTGTCTCTCCTCTCTGTATATCCGCCTTTCCAATGAAAAAATAATAAAAATAAATCTTTAAAAACAAACAAACAAAAAAAAAAAACAGCATACTTTGGCTTGGCATAGTGATATAACACTATTAGTCCTCAGCCAGTGGCACTAGCATTCTATATGGGCACTGGTTTGTGTCCCAGATGCTCCATCTGTAGTACAACTCTTTGTGTATAGCCTGGAAAAGCAGGAGAGGATGGCCCAAGCTCTTGTGCTCCTGCACCCATTTGGGAAACCCAAAAGAAGATCCTGGCTTCAGACCAGTCCAGTTCTGGCCATTATGGCCGTGTGGGGGAGTGGGGGAGTGGAACTAGTAGACAATGGAAGCTCATTCATATTCTCTCTCCAATCCCCCTTTCTCTTTCTTTCTGTAAATCTGCTCTTCAAATAGAAAAAATTTTTTAGAAAAGTATATACAAAATATATGTGTATATACACACACAATCATTTTTCTTCCTGATTATTCAATGTTTGAAAATTTACAAAATACAGGAATTCACCAAGAAAACAGAAACCATTCACAATCCTACCCCCTGAAGATCAGAGACAGTGACTGCAAAAGGCTCAAGAGATCCTTCTGGGACACTACACCCATGTTGTTATTTGATTTGGAGGCTGGTTATTAGAGGCATTCACTTTGTGAAAATTCATTTAGTTGTACGCATTGTTATGATTCCACAAACATGAATCTAACATATATCTATTAGTGTTTTGTTCGGTTGATTCCCTTGTGTATCTGGCCATGGGGTGTTGGGGAGAGAGGATAAATATTATCCAGGGGAAAAAAAGTTGTCTTTGGTTTTCCATTTGGGATATTTACACCTCATTTCTTATTTTATTGGCTCCAGTTTTCACAAAAATGTTAAATGATGATAGTGACAGCATATTATTTCCTTGTCTTGGCTTCCATGAGGACACTTTGGAAGTTTCACTGTTAAAAATTATATTGGTTAATGGTTTGAAAGCCTTTTATCATGTGAAATGCCTTCCCTTTCCTACTTTAGTAATGAATGCAGTGCCTGGAAAGTACAGGTTTTAAATGGGCATATAACAGGTTTAAAAAAGGAATGGGGACTAGTTTTAGCAAGTTTTGTAACAGAGAAAAGCAAGGGAAACTGAAAAATACTTGCACCGGAAGGATGCTTGGCAAAGTTCCACTCAGGTTTAATTGCCTTGGTTAGTATCTTCCTATCACTTGTTTCTTATTCTCTCTAGTTCAATGATGTCAAAAAAGATAATTATTTTAATTATTTAACCTATTATGTACTCAATGAAATTTTAAATTAGCAAATGCCAGGTTCAAATTAGCAAAACTGAAACTTTTAACCTTTTTTTACAATCAGCTTTCTTTAAAATCATCAAAACCTATTCCCTGTGGATCAGAGGCTCTTAATAGGAAAGATGCACCCATTTTGGATTTAAATTTTTACTCCCGTAGATGAGCAGACATATTAAACCTCAGTTCAGTTAAATGTGCAAGTCCAGACTGAGTAGTGTTTGTTTCACGCAGTCTCTGGGGCTAGTTTTTAAAGCTGTATCTATAATTTTAATAACAAACCAAGTTACTCCTACTGCAGGACCATGGCCTCCAGATACTGCAAAGTGTCTCTTCCAAGTCCATTTATCAATTTTTCTTTACCAAGAAAACCAAATATTTTAAGAGTGGCAATATGTTCAACCAAAATGCTCACCTCCCTACACCCAATTTCAGTGCTTGGTAAACCCCATTGCTTACAATTTATTTGTGAGAAGTCATTGGGTTTTCAGGAAAGTTCCTGAAAAGGACATGGACAATGGGCAGGACTCTTTGCTTTCAGGCTTTCTTCCTGTTTGCAATGAAGATGTAATGCCCGGAAGTGCAGTAACTATCTTTCCATCAAGAGGATATATGCAACATCTGAGTGATGGCAGAGCAAGAAGACTGTATGTGTTCTCAACTGTCACCTGTCACATTACAGGCTACTACATCACGCATGTATTACCTACCTTCAGGGCCTGCTGTTTTACATTTACGGCGGTGATGGCCGAACCCAAGGTTCTCATATCCATCAAGAAATTACTGGGTGTGTGCCCAATTATGATTAATATGCATCATTCAAGTAGAAATTTATCAAAGAAGATTTTATTATTAGCATTAAAATATCTAAAAACTTAAATTTGTTTTATTTGTTAACAGAACTTTGGACAAATGACACACACACAGCTGTATATGCAAATATAAACTTACCAAGGCAATGATATACTATTTATTTCATATCAATTGAATTAAATGTAGCTTACACATAAAATTATTATATTTGTGATATTATGGACCTGATGAAATTTAGTGAATTTCAGAGTATAAATAAATAGATTATTCAGAGCTATTTTATTCCAAGTTTATGCAGTGCCGACAAACAAGTAAAACAGAGTTAATTCCTCTCCCTTCACTAGGTAAGAGACAAAGCTTTCCCAACCGTCTTGAATTCGGCAAAAAGTTCTGACTCTATATGCACTGGATGGCACAACATAACTTTTGAGCTTCAATTCCTCATCTGTAACTGAGGATAATGCTATCTGTCTCAATTTTCAATCTCAGGCTGTAAATATGATCAAGTAAGATATGGGAAGCAAATTGTCCTTGTAAAGTGCTACATAATTATGAGACCTATATAAATATAATCTGGGAAGGAATTAAACCTGTAGTGAAATTAGCAGACCTTGTACTTTTTGCCCCTTTTCCACTGACTGCTAGCCATTTTATGAACACAAAAACAAACAGCAGGAAAAAGTCCAACAACTAAAACTGGAAAACCTATTGTTTTTTTCTGAAAGAATTCTAATGAAAGTATACATGGGGAAAGAAAAATGGAAGTAGAAGTGCACAAGAAGGCAAACAGCTGAAATTGTAATGGGGGTGGGAGGTAATAGCAGTAGACACTTTCCCTTTAATGTGTCAAGTAATGTATTCTTTTAAGAAAATAGTGTTTTATGATTCACTATAGCTGTCCAGTAATTATTTAACAGTAAATACAAAAATGGGCAATAAAAATTCCTTCTAGAAAAAAGTCACTTAATTTTAAAACAAATAAGCACCTTTGCCTATTAGGAAACTCAACCAAGCCATTTCATGTGCACTGTAACATCCCATCCAATGCTTCCATCACCAGTCCTCTGCTTCTTGCAACAAGCAGGACTCACCCTGGCTGCAGCCAAATGCACACAAAATCAAAAAGGGGAGCCCATGCTTCCATGGCAGTCTAGAAGAATCCACCAAGGTAAATGAAGACACAGTCTAAAAAACAGTGGTAATGGCAGCAGTGGGGGATTGGGACTATTTGCTAAAGGGAATGGCATTAATGATTTGAATTATTAGAGCATGTCCCCACATTCTCAGTTTAGTAAAGGCTCCATAAAGAAACATAAGTGCATACTCCTCTCCAGGAATCCTGAGAGTGAAGACATCAGAAACACAACATTAACACGCTTTATGCCAATGACACAGGACTCAAAAAACCCTGAAAACACCCGCACCAAGTCCCTGGGAGACTACTCTTACTAGAGACACTTCTTTGCTTATATAAGTGTTTCACTGTATCATGCTGCAATAATTAATGCCCATTCAAAATAATAACAGGAGATAGTGTCTGCAGACAAAGAAAGCAGGCAAGGGTGCCAGGTATGCAGAGCAGTGCAGGAGGAAGAATGTGGAAACTGTTCAGCTCACTCTTTAACTGCTGCCTGTTGTGCAAATATTTGTGATGGATGATTTCCTGCCATGCCAGTCAGCCTTTGAGGCAGTACCACGCCGTCTGTTGGTTGTTCTAAACAGGGTGAGGTCCACCATTAAATCTGTGGCTCCCTTCCTCTCTCTCTGGTTTGTAATTATAAAAATGTGGATGTGCTATTTTTAGTCTGATTATTTTTTTTTAAACGAGGATTCTTTCCATCCAGGCAGCCTCTTCAGTGAGTGCGAAGTAGAGAACAACCTATTCTTAAACTACTTCTGACTGGAGTGGATTTGGTCTGAGACGTGTGTCTTTCTGTAGAATGGCCTTGACTATGGACCAGGAAATATTGTCTACTCATAAAAACATGTGCTATACCTGGGAAAAGAGAAATGCCATCAGGCTCCAATCTAGAGTGCAGCAAATCATCTTCAGCAGAACATTTCTCAAGGAGTGTTCTCTATGTTTTTAAAAGAACATTCCAATACACACTGGCCCCTCATTTCTTGAAGATCATTCTAAACAATAGCTGCTATCCAAACTGATACGCTGTCCTCTCTGGAAATCCAAATATTCCTTGGAATTTTTTTCCTCCAGATTAGAATGAAAATCCAGATTTTATAGAGTTCAATCTCTAGGGAGGTTAGAAATGCTCAAAATCACTTTGCAAACAAATGTGGAACAAGTGGTTTAAGACAGAATCAGAGTATTAATCAGCAGTAGACACTCAGTTCTCCCAGGCTGAGGGTCTCCATATGAACATAAGGAACATTTTCACTCTATGGAAAGGTAGCTCAGGAACACAAGTTCTCTTGCTGTTCATTAAAGTGGACACTGTGCCAGGATTGCATGTCCCCAGAGTAAAATTATTAACCACTTTGTCTGCGAGCCAAAGGAAATTGTCATATCAGAGTTTTATGTAGGATGCATTTAAAAGATATTCTTAGGATGTGACCCTGGGCCACCCAAAATTCTGCTTCAGGTGTTGAAGTGCAAATGCCACTAACACACACACAATTTGTGGAAGCCATTCCATGAGAGGAGCAGCCCTCAAGGTGGAAAATAACGTTAGTCCTCAACAGTGTTATGTTTTACAATAGGAATTAATTAAGCAGTAATCCGTGACAGGACATGCATCATGGTATCATAATCACAGGCCTCAGCTGCATTACAAGGCAGAAGGCCAAAGACTGAGAGCTTCCAACCAGCCTGGGAATGCAATTAGGGTAAAATGCTGTGTGCCCTGGAGTGCCTTTATGCCAGGTTAAAAATTCATAGATATTACGCTCTCCCTCTAGGATACTAAAATAATCCACTTGAATAGAATTCTCAAGTAAGTGACTTTCCCTCCCCAGTCTCTCAAAGGTCAAACTAGAGGACAACATTAAATTTGGAATGCCAATGACACCCCAAGGTAAGACCCTGCCCAGCCACTAGCATTCCTGACTCATTTTAAGCTTTCCTGGTAAAGGTGTTCCGACTCTGCCTAAACATCTATGTCATCTTCCTCAGAGACTCACTTTTTGGGTATTCATATCTTTAATATAAAATTGTTTCACAGTGGTTCAGATTTGGTGTTTTGGGAAAGGATGGGAAGATGAGCTTTACCAACAACGCTCAGTTAAGTAGCCCCAAATAATTGGTAATGGCAGGCAGTAAATTTTTCAGTGCTATTAAAGACAGCTATATAGTAAAGTGGGAAGAAAAATAAGGAAAAGGTATAAAATGACTTCAAAAAAGTCTTAGGAAACAACATTAAAAGATATTTATTAGGGGACAAAAACTTGAAATACATACATATGAGAGAAATTCATATTATAAAAAATATTACGGAGAGTATGCAAATATAAAACTGAACTTTAATTCCATTTTCCATGAACTTCTTGAGGTTTCCTCTTACTACACTACAACTTGAGTATGCTTCTCAATCCTGCTGTCCTAGCCATACTCAGTTAAAAGGAAATGTAAAAAAAAAAAAAAAAGAAAGAAAGAAAGAAAGGAAGAAAAAAGGCTACTTATCCACAATTAAGAATACGGAAGTGATCTGCAGTCCTTTGTTCAACTCTAAACTGAAATGGTTAAAAAGCTTATCAGACCAATCAGGAAACTTGGCAGGTTTGAAACGGGATATTTTTAGATTTAAGCAAAAATGTACACAGAAAATAAATGTGACCACCAGTGATTAAATGTTTAAAAACACTCACACTCACATCTGGGGTAGATTAGGTACTAAATTCAAGTCATTTGAAAGTAGTAAAAAAAAAATTCAAATACTGAAACAACCCACGAATAGATTTTAAAATGTTATATCCTTCAACTTGGGTGTTAAAAAAATCTTTCATCAATTGACACTGTTAATGCAATAGAGGCATGTACTTTAACTGTCTGAAAACTAAAAATCACGCTTATCTTTCAAAAACATCAAATTGTACTATCAGGTTTCCCTACTTTACAAATATTATGCAGTTGAGTTTGTAGTAGAATGTATAATGCATAAGATAAGGGAAATGAAGAAAATATTTATCTACCTTAGAACAGCGCTGACAAAAGGTCACCAAATTGAATCACAAACCCTTATAACACTTGACTAAAACTGTTATCACTGTTTTCCCACAAAAGTAAAAGCTAGGCCCCAAAGGTTTGCGCATGCCTACTCTCCCCTCTCTCGGCCCACATTATATCAGCCAGCTGCAGGATCACTGCATCCCAGTATCACCTCCAAAACTGCCCAGTTTTCATCACAGAGCTCAAAACCAGACCTCCAGATGACTTCCCTAAATCATTCCACACGTGCCATTACTCCAGCTCTGATGGTGGTAGCTGCCTCGGCCCCCAACTGCTTTCATACCACCCCAAGAAAAACCAGGTGCTTTGGTTTCTGGAAAGGGTTGCCCTGAAAATCATTTCTCACCTGCTGTAAAATGTGTCTTTCCCTCAGCGTCATCAGCCTTCTGTGAAGCTCTACCAGTTCATCTAGGTATGCCTGAAAGAGAAGTGAATCCCCTCAAAGAATGAGCACTGTACAAAGCAGCTCAAAAGCAGACAAGTAAGAACATACAAGCATCAACTGGGGGGCTCTGCCTTTTACCACTCTGTCAGACTGTCAACTCGGTATCCAAAGCTTCTGGCACACTGAGTCTTCCCCAGCCCTACTATTACACTTATGAAGCCCGCTTTGAAAATCATGGGGTAGACGGTCAGCTCTTGCACTTATTCTCAACAAAATTCAAATCAGTAGAAGTATCTTCCCCCAACAATTCTTTGACACAGAATAAGAGAAATACAATATCAAACTGTGCACTGAAACATGTTATCACAATTCATTTTTTCCCTTCACCCCAGAAGGTTTTTGACTAAAAGAAAAAAAAGTTTGAACACAGAACTATTAAATCCACAGGGCAAACTATGTCAGCACAAATTCTTAAAAAAAAAAAAAAAAAGGCTTTCTCTCCATACCAAGCATTGCTACCAAACAATGCCTGCAAGTGACAGAAGTGACAGAAGAGTATTTTTGAGTAACAGAGATCATTATCCAAATTAGCATTCGGTTTGTGAAGGGTATCTCACTTTGCATATGCTCAGATTCATGAGTCTCTGTTAGTGTAACTGCATGGGTAACCCCAAGAATCATTTGCAAAGAGATCTGCTTGACCTTGTAAAGCATGGTAGGGCTATGCTTAGACCAGGTGACTCAGCACCAACCAGGGTTTACACTCAGATTTGAGACGCAAGATGCAATCCATGGGAATGCACACCACAGATTTAATGTCTTGCTCACGCGTATCAGACAGTCCTTAACTCAGCCACCTCTACCATGATTCTCTCACCTCCCAATTCATGTGCCTCAAAACCATTGGCTAGTCACTATAGGAAATGATAGCGCAAGGCTAAACTTCACACGGAGGTTACCAGCGAGACATGGAAGAAATATAATGCAAAACACTGGAATGACGTATTCATTATTTGGGAATCTCGGGCACTTCTGATGATGAAAATGAAAGCAGGCCCAACAAAACGAGCAAGACCAACGAAAAGGAAAACAAGCTTCGTCATGGAGGCAGACACGATGAGGGACAGCAAACCTACCTTGTCACATTCGCCATTCTTTATTTGCTTATCTGATTTGCTTTGCTTTATTGGACTTTTCACTTCAAGAATCTAAGGACCAAAGAGAATGCTGTTACATTTTATTTCAAGCACATCTCTTCAAACTAGCTAAATAAATAAAGGTGCACACTGAATGAAATGTCATACAATGACATCGGTTTCTAAAATAGCATTTCTCCTCTACACCTTTTGTTAACCTTATTTTCAGGAAAAATAAATTACTTCTGATTGAAATGCTTAGTCAGGCAATAGGACTTAAAAAAAAGTTGATGATAAGCAAATTGATGTAAGCTTCCAGGACCGCCTTTTGCCACAACACTCGGATGCATGTGTCACAGCCGAGTTATACCAACGTAGCCCCTTGCGGCAAGAATTCTTCCTATTCATTCTGCTGTTTCAGTGTATGCCAGGGATTATTAAAACAACAAAAAGAATACCCAAATGCCCTTCTTAGTAACTAACTTTCAGATTTAAAACTTACTCATATCCACTGAATTACTGTCACTTTGGAAATGAAGATACCATCAGTTTTTCTGCTTGTTACCCACTTGGGATCCACCAACTGAAGAAATACAGAGGCAGGACTATTTCATGGGCCTCAAGAAAAAAATATATTTGCTCATCACATTTTTTTTCTTTTCTTTTTTTAAAAGAAAAGATTTATTTTTATTTGGAAGGTAGAATTAAGAGAGAGGGTAAGGGAAGAAGGGAAGACAGGCGAGAGAGAGAGAGCAATACCGAGCTATCTTTCATCATTGACTCACTTCACTAAGAGCTACATGGTCAGACCTAGGCTGGTCTAAAGTCAGGAAAATCCAGAAACTTCTTCAAGGCCTCCTATACCACCAGTGCAGAGGGCCAAGCTTTTGGGCCATTTTTCACTGCTTTCACAGACAATTAGCAAGGAGCTGGATTAAAAGTGGAGCAGCCAGGATTCAAACCAGTGCTCATACGGGATATCAGCGCCATAGGCTGAAGCTTAACCTGCTACATCACAAAGCCAGCCTCCACATTTTCTTTTATATGGACAACTGCAATTAAGTTATCAATAGCAATGAAAACTTTGGTGGGGATCTAGGTTTCTAAGCAATAAAATAGAAAAAATGTTTTCTTTAACAAGGATAGCTGATTTACTAGACAGGATCCTCAAAACTAAGGAGTATGTGGGAAATTTTAAACAGCCCTTGCTTAAACAGACTAAGAATCACTGAATTAATGATGAGATTACAAAAGTATATAAATGTAAAAGGGAAAATAATTTGTCTCTTTCATTATAATCTCATTATCAATTTAGCTGCTACAATTGGAAACTCATACTAAAAGGAAAAATGCCAAATAAAGGATTTATCTGAAGAAGTTTCACAATGCTACTGTTTTCTCTACCCATGTTCTCTATCCATGTTCTTCCTCAGACACAGTTCCATTTATGGTCTCCCCTGGTAAGAGTGAGTCCACTTTGTACATGACAAGAGCACTAATTGGGCTTAGAAGCAAATGTTCAGGTCCTAGCCTATTATTTAATGGTTTGGGTCTTTCAAAACTGAACAGGAAATACAAATAAGATAATGCCCAGATTCTTACTTAGTCTTAAAATACTATGTTATGAATACAAATTTCCCTTGCTGTATCTGGCATTGTGGTTCAGTGCATTAAAAGCCACCACTTGGAAACCCAGCATTCCATATTTGACAGCCAGTTGGAGTCCCGGTTGCTCCACTCCCTGCTCATGTGACTAGGAAGACAGCGGAAGATGATCAAAGTATACGGGCTCCTGACCCCCATATGGGAGATGGGGATGCAGGTGCAGGTTCCTGGGTTTCTGTTTGGCCCACCTCTGAGTCGTTTGGGGAGTGATGCAGCATACAGAAGATCTCTTTTCCTTTCAAATAAATCTTCTAAAAAGGCTTTTTTTTCCTTATTGAGGATCAATTCATGACATTCTGATAAGCTTAAACACTTCTAGCAGGGTATGTTTTTCTTTGAGAACAATGGATATGTAAGAGGTCTGTTTCCAACAGTCTTTCCTGAGAATCACACTTAATTTCTTCATTCTGAACATTAAGATAATCAAATGATTTGAACAAACTGAAAATACAATACTCTGGCAACCCAAGGAAATTACTTAATAGCAGAGGCGAGGCAATCATCTTTAACATGCTCTGCTGTACAAAGGAAGCCAAACACCGCACAACATTCAGAATTTCCTCCTCTCTATTGTTGTTGGAAAGGAGACCTCCAGGGAAAAATCAGTGCTCAGAGACCTAACAGTAAGTAGGTCAGTAGATGGCACTCCTCGCCAACTCAGATACTGCTGGGCAATGCAGAAACAATCCTCTGAGATTTCAGGCGAAAGGAAAAACAGAACAGTACCTGCCTGCTTGTTTTGTGCCTCGGAGAACCACATTGTGTTCCCAGCATTTCCACACCCCATCTTCACAACTCACTATATTCTCTATGGTCAAAGTAACTGAGGAGGCTGAATTGCAATGGAACTTTACTAACCAGCTTTAGAATCCTGCCACTTTCCCTTCAAAGCCAATAAAAAGAGAGAGAGACAGACTGAACATTTGGGTGTTTAAGTCCCACCCCACACATGCTGTAAATGCTACAGCACAGAAGGCCAAAATACACTGAAATCCTACTTTCTTTCTTCCGAAGCAGCAGTGGCAGGAACAAAAGCTCTGGGTGTCAGTGACCCGCCTCAAGTTACCGAGTGGCTGCCCAGGGAGGGCTTGGCTAATCTTCAGTCTTTGATCTCTCCCTGCTCCAAAATAAACAGCTTTGTCAAAACCTCATTCTGAGAGAGCTGAGCTATTCTGAAGACAATTGTTTTATTTATGATCATTTCTTATCTTTAGGGAAACGATTCCAGAATGTAAAAGTACAACGCCTTGCCTTCTGCCGGCTTATTCCAGACCAGTTTAACTGGACAGACTCTTTTTAATTTCATTCAACATGCCTTGCAGGCTGACAGGTGATTTATGATATTCTGAATATTAACTTGGGTCCAATGGATCACTTCCTTCCTTCCAATCTTGTCTCCACTTCCCCACCCCCTTCTTTGGACTAAAAAAGATATGGTACTTTGTTTCTGCTTGAGATTCACATAAGGGAATTTGGGAGTGGAAAAAAAATCACCTTTGGTTACAAGGATGCAGCACTTTTTATTATTCTCATTAGATTGTACTAAGGGAGAAAGAACCACCAGGCTGCCCAGATATCCCATGAGAACAAATGAATATGATTATTAGCATTATTGCCCTTCATCTGATGAATGGCTTAAGAATCAAATTGTTAAGGTCACGTATTTTTTCAAAATCTCTTTGTGAAAAAAAAATGTGGTAACTTATTCAGCATATGGTTTTTCAAAACTGAGAGTTCTTCATTGATGGTCATTATTTGCTCCTAACAATACTCAGGTAAATCACTTGCTGTGGTAGCACGTGGATCTTTCTTTGTTCACTTTTTTGTTTTTCTGGGAGTTAGAAAGTGTCTGACCTAACTAGCACTTCCCTGTTTCCTAGTCTCCAGGAGAAATTAGAAAAGTATTGGGCAATTCAGCTTTGCCTGGTCCTTTCCCAAAACTTGAGAGATGACCATCAATGTGCAGACGCAGAACATGGTGGGTGGCCGAGGAGTGGAAGTGGGGTTTAGGTCTTCTCTGCATGACATGTTTGTTTTTGTTTGTTTTTTTTTTTTTTTGATACAAAATTTCAGATGTCTGTCTCTCGCTCATTTTCAAAAATAAAACCGAAACACATTCCAGAGTGAAACTGAAGTAGGTTTCTACAACATTCTCACTATTTCATTCTGTCAGCAGAGAACTAAGACTTGGCAATTTTCAAAGTTCCAGAACACTGACTTCAAGGGACAGCACCAATATCTAAGGCAATGCAGGTGATGTGAGGGGTTAGCGTATCAATTCTAAACAAAATCCTAAAAAGCTTGTTGTAGTTTTTCAGGTTCAAAGAGATCAATACTTCTTCTGTACATACATCCTACCCCAGACTGGCTAGAAGTTAAAGCACATGGGCGTTCTCATTCTGCTTCTCAGTATATGGAGCAGGGACATACAACTGAGCGTTACTGGCAGATTAGTACCTCATATGTGAAGCTGCGTTTTTAAATCAACATGCCAAGCAGCTATTGGTATATTATTTAATTAGATCAAATAATTCCTACTGCCTCCAGAGAGATAATACCATTTACTTTTGAGCTTGTTTTGATAGGTAAGTTTAAAAAAAAATTTGACCAAAAAAAAAAAAAAGTAAATTTTATCTAAAGTCAGCCAGCACAAAATTGTCTATTCAGAATGGGGTTTAGGAGACTTAGTAGGTATAATGGGCACGCTAGGAGTTTGTTGGAGTCACAGCTCAAGAATGGTCGGGGGAGATGGTGATAGAAATTAACGAGAGCACAAAAGGACTCTAGGGCCTAAACATAGTCCACAAATATGCTGCTGTCTGAAGTATTCTGATTCTCATGCAATATCCACTGGAAGCAATTGTCGGTTTTTAATAAGGGTGGTGGGGGTTTCTGATGTAGGGGTGAAGACACAGAACTGCTCTCACTATCACTGCCACCACTTAAGCTAACTCTGAAAAGAGAGAAGTCACAATGAAGCCTCAATTGGTTTCAATTGGATATACAATTATAGGAAGGGTCCATATTCTATTCCTTTGCCAGCTTTTACTGAAGCATAAATATACAAAAGGATCCCAAGTTATCTAGTTGGCTAGCCCAGTACTCTTTTCAACTGACTGGCCACAACACCGATATCCTTTCTCTTTTTACTTTCACAGAAATGTGTGGCTTGTTGACGAAAGATAGCATGGGCAGGGCGGGCCCTCGAGATGGAGAAGAAGAGACAGCAAGGGAACAAATCTACAAGAGAACTTAAACTTGGGCTTTCATTCATACATAGGACACAAAGTAACTGAAGCTGATCTGTAGTGGGTACAAAGAGCAGTGACACAATTTCTATTTAACAGTGAAAGATTCAAGTTCTATGCAGACCATATAAATAAAGAATTCTAACTGTTAAGGGCTCTTTGCAGCTATTTGGGGAGTGAACCGGTAGATAGAAAATTTCTAGCTCTTTCCACCTTTCTGTAATTCTCACTTCAAACATTTCTATATATGTGTATGTGTGTACATATATATGTGTACACACATATATATATACATATGCATATATATTACAAAACAAGGGAGAAAATGACACAGAATACCAATTCAATGCACATTGAGAATTTTGCATCTCTTGCTACTTGAACATAGTTTATTTTAATAAATAATGAAAATACTCCACTCTTACTCAGTTAACGAAAACTCACCAGTTCTGCCCAGACCATATCCAAACTATTTGCTCATTAAATAGATTAAGTTTTCATTTTGCTCAATTTATAGCAATAACAATGAGCATTATTTTCTCAACATCTTGTTAATTCCTTGCAGTTCCAAGAGATGATCCTTCACTTCTCGACAAGAATCCTGAGGCAGAGTATCTATGATAACAGGCATCTTCCACCAATTGGGCACCAGGCAGGTGATCTGTGCTACCTGACATTCCTTACTTATTTCATCTGTCAATCTTCCGATATTATCACAAGCTAATATCCTTTGCAGATGAGGAAACTTAGCACCAGAAGTTGAAGGTAAATCGCATAATTAAGCAGTAAGGCTAGTGCCTAAAGTCATAACTCTTTCTAATCAAGCCACCACTCTACTTTGAGGAGTTACATATACAGTAATAAGGAGTAAACGGTCAACAGATTTTGTTTGCATCCTATATTTAAGCCTACTTTTCAATCCATCTAATGGAACACAATCATTTTCTCATGGACTCACAGGAGTTCTGTTAAGCCAAGTATATGTTTGTTCCTAAGGTTGTGGATTCTCACTTATTTGCCATGAAGAACACTGTTGACGATAAAGAAGTAACACGTAAACCCCACAGTTTACCTGGTTGTTGTTGGTTTTTAATAAAGGTGGTGGGGGTTCATGATGTAGGGGTGAAGATGCAGAACTGCTTTCACTATCACTGCCATCACTTAAGCTAACTCTGAAAAGAAAGAGAGAAGTCACATGTATCATCACAACTATGCCAGAAATGTCCATGGAAATGGACATCAAATGCGAGTACTCCAAACACTTACCACTGAGACGTAGGTTTTTAACTCACAAATAGTTCAGCACTTATTTTGTATCTAGAACTGAAACTTTAAATTGATCTCCTGTCTCTCAGAAGAGAAAAGACAACTTAGTCCACATCATTCACTCAGTCACAGAGGTACAAGGGATACTGCTAGAATTCAAGCCCAAGTCAGTACTTGGTCACAGTATTGATGTGTGAGGCCCAGAATGCTATGACTGCATTCTTGCTGTGTCATAATTCAGGGGTCTCTCGTCCTAAGTGCTGATACAACAATTCCTTGGAAATCTGCTAAAACAACATAAGAAACAGTGTGTTTGGGATAACTTCTTCAGAAAATGTGTCATATCTTCCAGTATCTGAAGACAGTATAAATGCCAGCTCCTCCTCTCCGTTTTCCCTCTCAGAGTGACGTGTCTCTTAGCCAGAGAGGAGCTACTTCATTCAGCACTGGTGATGTATGAGCTCCTTCGGTGCTTGTTCCTTCTTCGGTTTAACAGGAACTTGATACAATTTTCTCAGAAACAGAAAATGCTTTAGAAATCAGGCTAGCTTCTCTTCCTCTCTGAATAGGTAATCACATTCTAGCTCTATTACATATTCAAACAGGCAAGATACAAGATAGGAAATGAAAAGGATACACTGGGACATCCTTTTAGCGAAAACCGATGGAACTTGTTTTTCTTAACTAAATTACATTAATGAAGTGTTCAGTTGAAGCGCTGCTGTAAAACGCTTCTTGACTGAAGTGGAGGCTGAGTATTTAAACTGATTAAACAGGTGAGACTTCACAAGTGCACTGAGGATCGAATGTTACACTGGGGCTGCCACAGTAACAGTACAGGTTGGGTTGGAAAAAGCAAATCATCCCCAATAATACGTATCGATGGGAAACATCTCACAAACATGCACGATTTTACACCACAACTCAGGACAGAGGCAGCAAGTGGGTTGGAGACAGTCAATCAGAAGAGCCATATCTTTTAAACAACAATTTTGGAAATTGTCTAAATAGGTCATGCATATTTTTTTTATGAGCTAAACTAGACAGGAGCCAGCTGTCCGCATGTTGGTTGGTAATCGTTCCTTCACTCCAAGTTTTGCTTCATTTTTAGGATTGTTTTCCTTCCCCTACTAGTTTCCCTCTTTTCAGATAAACAACTTGTGAAGGAAAATGTTAGAAGGTCAAGAACAGAGGGATTTTTCTTTTCTCTAATTGAAAGGGAATATGAACAGGTGAATTTGGAGACAAGCTGGAGAAATGATAGTGCTGAGATCTCTTACATATCCTACGTACATCACAGAGGGTCTTCCCAAAGAATGCTAAGGAACCGCTCATTCAGAAGAGCATGTTATTTGAACGAACTGGGTTACGACTGCCTTCTCTGTAGGAATGTTAGGGCCTTCTACATAGTCACAGATAACGGGGACAGATTTAATGCAATATATTATAAATGTAATTAGATTTTAAGTTCAAGTAGATTCATATTTTTTTCTACTCAAAACATATTAGAGTAAGCACACCTATTTGTTTTCCTCATGACAAAGGAAAAAAATCCCCAAGGCAGTTTCAAGTTGACTATTAATTATAAGTGACATGAATTACCATTTTATAATGTGGAATTACACCTCACAGCATTAAAGCTACTTAAGGAACCTAATTGTCAGCACACTTAAAAGGAATTTATTTGCTGAAAAACACACACAGGTGATCCTAGTTTTAATTAGGTCAAACACATAATTCACTGGAGCCAATTATGTATTTCTAACTCCAAACAGCAAACACCTTTCTTGAATTCTGAGACAATCTCCAGCAATGAATCCACACTGACTCTTCAGATGAAAACAAGCTTGAATTAAGCAGTCAGTCCTTACACTTGCTAAATACTCTGACCAATAAGGACTTCGAATATGACTTTTTCTTATTAGTTTTATTAGAGGAAAAAGTTCTTTCTGAGAAAAGGGAAAAATAGCTCCTTACTGATATGAGAAACATCTGAAAGAGCCTTGGTTTCTAACAAATGTGACCATTCTCTGTCCCTGATCTTGTTGTTTCACACTTTGGCTGCCACAATAGCTGGTCTAGCGAAAGGGTCTGAAGTCCATCGCCAGGAACCTGAACTTCATTCTTTCTAAGATACTCACCTGCGACTTCTGCTGCCTCCTCTATTTACAGGTCTCTCCATCTCTGAGTCATTGTCATTATCCTCTGCCTCATCTGATTCTTCCTCATTGTCATCGGAATGCAAATCTTTCATTATAGACCTTAAAGGACCTGAGTAATGAGAGTGAACCACGGTCAAACGCTAGTAGTAGTCTGAACACACTTGGCCATATTAGACACAAAGGAATGCTCACCAACATTACACCCTGGTTTAAAATAATTGTTTTTGAATATATTTACACAATTGACAAGACCATATTTGGTAGCTACTGGAACTCAACCTCTGCCAAATCACTATGGTGCTTTCATAAGACAGTCCCAAAGTGCTCACTGAAGAGTATCTATTTTTGTAGGGATACTTTTTTTCCCCCTAAGAAAAAAATACACCTAAAAAGAAACATAAAGGTCTATTAGTAAATTGAATGTTTTGTTAGGTTAATCCATGTATTGAAAAGCTAAGATTAATAAATCACTGTGGTTGTAACTTGTTCTTGGCAATGCAGCCTTTGTGTGGTACTTTTTGATCTATTAAGGTTTAGCTGTTCCTTTTATTTCAAGGTCAGTTTCAGGTCATGCAAGTATTTCAGTCAAGTTCAGATTATAAAGTATTTCAATTCCATGGTGTAACGTTCTATCTCTGATCTTCATATTGATCTCGGACACAATGTCTTGTTACAATAACTTTATGCACCTAATTTTCATTATACTTTTAAAAAATTCTTGGCACAATGCCAGCATGTATTAACATAAGTAACACCATGTAATAAATCAGGTGCCCAGAAACTTCAACACAGTATCCAGTGATTCATGGAAAGGATAATAAAATTAAAGATCAAGCTGTAACTGATTTTATTCTAGGACACAGAACTGGACAAACACACAATCACACATACATCATTCATTAATGTAGCTACTTCTTACTTTGCCTTTCTAAATGTAATTAAACCAGGCAGATATAATCAAGTCTATGAAAGAAACTGTAAAGGGAATGAGAGTGCATTTTCATTCAGGATTAGGTAATTCCTAAAGCCTGATCTATGCTAGAGACATCCAACACCAACTCAGTTCTAAAAGAAGTATTGACTCTTGCGACCTCTTATTCTGCAAAATCCAAGTTTGCAGGCTTTTGTAGTAGGCTTATTTCTTGCAAAATCTGCAGAAAAGAATCTCTGAATAGCCAAAATGGGCACTGTCTTTTATTTTTCCCCAGAAGTCTAAGCCTTAGTATAAACACATACAACAATTTAAGCCTTTTTAAAACATACAAGACGATTACAATTTCAGCATGATCAAGGAAAACTGGTGTTTCATATAAGGCTAAAAATAATTATCCTTTGATAATTATTTTTGTATAACCCAAAAAGCCCACATTTTAAATTGTCTCTCTCTCACACACACACACACACAAATGGATAACATAATTTCCTTATTCTGAGTTTAAGTCAATTCCTGATTATGTGTAGAGGAAAAATATATCTAAAGTATATTTAGAATATATTTAAATTATCACATTACATTTGCGGAAAAAAACCCACTAATCTGTAGAAAAAAAAAACACATAGAATGGAAGCTATCCAGCAAGAAGAGTAAAAACATACTTGTCTATGTCAAACCCTCTCAAATCCAGCTTCTGCCATTGTATTTCCTTTGGGAATTCCCTGAAATGGGCTATGTCTATAATCCTTTTGTCAAATGGGACTCTGATGGCAGGGACTGGAAAAGGGGGAATTCCTGGAGCTTGGACTCATACATCAGAACAATGCTCAAGTACAGTCCTGGGGGAAATAAGTGCAACTGCATAAATGCAACTGTTATCATTCAAATAGTGAAACAGCAGAAGATAGGTCATAAATCAACTCATCAAGATGCTTTATGAGAAAAAAAATCTCCTTGTTTGCCTGAGAGATGTTTATACCTTGTTGTCTGGTCTGGGACGGAGTGAAGCTAGAGCTGGAGCTGGAGCTGGAACTGGCAGGACTGGGTTGTTCAGACTTTAAAGAAGAAAGGAAAGGAATTATCAATAAACTTGAGGGATACTATGTGTCTGACATTGATGACAATATTGTTGCTTAAAGCAGGCTTCACAAAAAACAGTCTGATACTGTGCAAGAGAGATAACTACACATTGCATTAAGTCAAAATACTAACACCAGAGACTCACGTCACCCTTTTTGTCTTACTTACCGTACTTTTGTTGCATGCAAGACAAAACAAAACAAAAAAATGCATTAAGCCAAGGATGAAGGGACAGAGTGTTACATGAGGAAGAAGCACCTGGCTTTGGTTCACTCCCATGTTTACTGTTATTTAGATCCCAGAAAAGAAATACCTTGATTACCCTTTCTGCAATGTTTGATTGACTCAATTGGTTAAAACATAGTGGTAATGAGGCCAAGGTCATTAGTTCAATCACATTATGAGCCAGTTAATTTTGCTCTGGTCCAAGGCCATGACCCAACCCTAACCCCATTCATCCACAGTTCACAAACGGAGGCCAACATTCACAAGACCCAGCCAAGTCTCACAAATGAGTCAAGGGAAAATGCTGCCACTATTTCAAAATAAAAATTATCCTTTAATTCCATAGCCCATTAATGGTAGGGGATAAATGCCAAATACACATCCTAATCTCTTATTCTTGACTGATTTTCCTCATCCCTTAATACCCAGAATAAGTTCTACATCCTACTTGACCCACCCAACTTAGTTTTCTTGCTATTCCAAATCTGAAAATGTACTAGATAGATGATTTGCCTATTAAACGTGCTGCAGTACTACGCTGCCTCTGATATATATTTTACCCCACACAGAGGTTAAGCTGCCAACACTTGAAAAAGCAATGATCTGCCTGCTGTGTGCTTCTTGTTATCCTCTCATCCTTAGCATAATAAACTGCATACAGCAAGCGCTCTGAACACAGTGCTTGTGTTCCACTGTGTACCAGCTTTATACAAGATTTTATAGGAAGTAAAGATGGGTAGAGTACTCATATACAGAAAAGTGGGCAGAGAAACTGCTCATATCACCAATCCACTTTGATTTTTACATATTTTGGGCCAAATTTAGTTTTAAAGTAACTTAGGGGCAGGTATTTGGTGTGGCATTAACCTGCCACAAGGGATATTCACATCCCTTCCTGGACAGCCTGGATTAAGGTTCTGGCCCAGCCCTATGTTTCAGTTTTCTGCTAACATACACCTTGGAAGGCACCAGCTGATGGCTTAAGTAGTTGGGCCGAGATGGATATGGAAGACCTAGACTGAGTCCCAGTTCCTGACTTCATCCTGGTTAGGCTCTGGCTACTGCAAGCATTTGGGAAATGAAGCCACAAATTGGATTTTTTTTTCTTTCAAATAAATAAAAACTTAAAATTTTAAAACTAAAATAACCTAATTGTGTTCAATTATGTATAGACTGGGTCTACCCCATTTCTCATTCTCTCATAGTCTCAACCACATCTACATACTCATGCTATTTAGGACAGATTTGAGGTCTTCCCAATTATAGGACCTATCCTCCCTTCTGCTTCCTTTAGCTGGTGATCAAGTTAGAGGACAAATTAAGAGCACCGTCTGAAGCTGATAAATGAAGATGAGAATTTCAGTTAGGTTTATACCACAGCTTCTTGCCACTAATTTTTCATCTCCATTCCCCTCCCAGCACTGAACTCCCACCCATCTCCCTAAGAGGCAGCAAGCTCCACCCACCCACCCCTCTCCAGTCCAGACACAAGGAAGCACTTTCAGGCATTCCTAATGCACACTTCACATCCTCAGACTGGCTGGGAAAACAGGTGTCAGCAATCTACCGCTCATTCTGCAGGAAAAGAGCCAGACAGGATCTCTAATGAGCAGCAGGCGGCCCACCAGCCCTTCACCACTGCAAGCTTTACTTGAGAATTGTAGTACAATGTCCTACACATTGCTGCTTGAGGCCCACAAAGAGCTGGTTTACAAGTACAAATGCCTGTGTGAGGTACTCTTCATTTCTGTTGAGTGGCTCTTCCACTGTTGAGCCCCAATGGTGAGTTACACAACTGAAAGGGCATTCAGCTAGCATTTATGTGCAATGCCCAGCTGTAAAACAGTTCTCCCAGCCTGCAGGATACTCCTTTTCCTCTCCAAGTTGCTCTTTTCAGCTATGAAAAGTGCCTGCAAATGGTATTATTTTGATAGCTCTGGAAACCATCTGGGAGCCAAAAAGGAGGTTTCCTTACAGCAAGCAGAGAGTGCTCAAATTCCCCAAGCTGACTGACCAACACACATTGCATCGGATTTAAAGGAGCTCTCTGCCTGAGCTGTTAGCAGAATGACATTAATTAGAACAAGAGGAGGATGGCCATCTTTCCATATGCCCTACATTAAACTTGGTCCATCTCTCTCAAGCATTACATGAATGTCACAGCCAGATCTGGAGTATACTACTTATATACTTTATCTTCTCACAAACTAGGGTAATAATTGCATAGCTACTAATCAACTGACAGTTTATAAGTGATAAAGAACATAATTCAGTGGAAGAGAAAACATTTCTTAACACATTATTAACATACTGCCTCATCCACAAAGCATTTAATGTTTCCAACAGAAGACCTTATTCTATACGAATATTAAAATATGAAGTTTCTTTTTTTTGCTGTTATTTTTTTCTTTTTTTAACATTTTATTATTATTATCATTTTATGATACAGTTCCATAGGCTCCCGGCATTTCCCTTATCCCCTTTCCAATTCCCTCCCCCCCACCTAGTTCCTCTATATCATTATGAAAATATAGTTCTCATACACAGTCATATGTCCATCATTGTGGACATGGACAATGGCAGTGAGTCCAGCATCCTATTGTCAAGATATAGTAAACAGTTTCATTGAAGTTTCAAATTAAAGAGAATGGATGTTGGGCAGTAAGGCATAACATATAGGAAGATTATTAATGAAAAAGGAGTAAACCAACAAGGATCTAGCACTTTAGTCAGTCATGATAATAACTGAACAGAGAAATCAGTAGATTACATTAGATTACATTGTGTTTACTTCTTTGATTAGCACTTGGCCTCAAAAAAAGTGGGTTTTTGTTGTTTTTTTTTTTAAACAAATATTTGTTCAAAGGGGAGCTTCAATAGGTTTTCTTTTCTAGATAAAGTAGAAATTTGGTGAAATATCAGTGTGTCTGAAATTATTCCAACATGAGACTAACATTTCTAAGTTTTGGTTAAAATCAAAAACAGAACTGTGTAGAAGAAATTTAAGAATGCCTAAGAGTATATGTCACACAATGAACCAGCATTATGTTCTAGCAAGTTAAGCTGCCACCTGCACTGCCAGCATGCTGTGTGGGCATCACCATGTGGGTTTGAGTTTCAGCTGTTCCACTTCTGATCTAGCTCACTGTTAAGGCACCTAAGAAAGCAGCAGAAGCTGGGCTTAGGTTCCTGGACCCTTGTATCCACATGGGATGCCTGGATGGAGTTTCAGCTCCTGGTTTCCACCTGGTCTAGCCCCAGCATTGAAGCCATTTGATGAGTGAACCAGCAGATGAAAGATCTCTATCTCTGTGGGTGGTTTTTATTTTTTTTAAGATTATTTTAATGGGAAAAGCAGATTTACAGAGAAAAAGAGACAGATCTTCTGTCCACTGGTTCACTCCCAAGGGGTCACAATGGCCAGTGCTGAGCCAATCTGAAGCCAGGAGCCTAGAGCTGCTTCTGGGTCTCCCACACAAGTACAGGGTCCCAAGGCTTTGGGCTGTCCTTTATTGCTTTCCCAGATGACAAGCAGGGAGCTGGATGTGAAGTGGAGCAGTCAGGACGTGAAGTGGTGCCCATATGGGATCCTGGTGTGTGCAAGGTAAGGATTTAGCCACTGAGAGACTGTGCCACACTCTACCTTTGTGGTTTGTTTCTTCCTCTCTTTTTCAATTCCTGCTTTTCAAGTAAACTAAGAGAAATGAAAAATTTTAAGAGTAGATGCCATGTGAATAAAAATATTTAATATATAACTCTAAGAACAGGCAGTATTCCTACAGTCTTTAAAATTCTGCCACCAGAGGTGGATGGTATCTTACATTTCATCAAGTTTAATCAATAGAATTGTAGTTCACACAAAGTTAAGTCTGTTCTTTATTTCTAGTTTTATTTTGTTTTAATTTCAGAGATGGAGAAAGATGACAGGCTGTTCCTATCTACCAGCATACCTGTAAGGATCAGGAGCTGGGAAGGGATCAAACTGGACCTGGAAGCTGGGAATTCAAACTAGGTCTTCTCACATGGATGCTAGGAGCCAACTACTTGAGCCAGCACTCTGGCCTCCTAAGGTCTACATTAGTAGGAAGCAAGTAAAAGGAGTCAGACCTAGGAATGTAGCCCAATAAGGCACACATTATCTTTACTCCTAGGCTAAATGCCTGTCAACAATTATGTTTTTCAAAAGTCACATTTTTTTTCCTCTAAAAAATCACAGGTGATTACATAAATTACAGATTATTTGCTTTATCAGAAAATCACCATACAGTAGGCCTACATTAAGATCTTTATCAGCCACAGTGACCGAAAAAATATTGCTTCCACCTTCTCCTTGCCCTATTTTCTAAATACCAATTAAAATAGGTGTTTCTGACTATACAGATTTGCCTGTAAATGCTAAAGCAAAGCAAGTAAGACTAAAGTGTTCAGAAAAGTTCTCATTTTTCCCCTTGCTAATACTTGGTTTTAAAATATCAAAACTCTCCCAACTAAAAAATTACTTGCTCTTTCTTGCTGATGGTCTAACCACATGCTTATCTGACCTCCTGGGTAATCAAACACTAGTCATTAAATTTCTTTAAATGGTATGCTCGATTGTGATAAATGTATAAGCTTAAGAATTTCAACTCCATTGCTCGCAAGCATGTTTTTGAAAAGATCACTTACCTTACATGTTAGCTTTCTCATAAAGAGCACTGAAATTTAAATAGAAGTCATTCTAATCACTGGATATTATGTAAAAATGCCTAGT